CCCTTATATTGCGACAACAACGGGGCGATTGCTCAAGCGAAGCGAAGAACTCAGATCTCATCATAAGTCTAAGCATGTTCTAAGGAGATTCCACCTGATCAGAGAGATCGTGACCCGAGGAGATGTAGTGGTAAGAGTTACATCCGGAGATAACATCGCAGATCCACTAACAAAGTCATTGTCTCATATGATCTTTGAGCATCATAGGGGTCTGATGGGGATAAGACACAAAGGTGATTGGTTTTAGGTCAAGTGAGAGATTGCTAGTCATAGGTGTCATGCAAGCCAATTACGTTAGTGATGGCACGTGTGACATAATATATATTCTTTTTGCTTATTATATTATTTGACATTTTATTACTTTATATTACTTGTTGCATATATATATATATATATATATGTGATGTTCATGGATCTGTACAATGAGAATCGGATCGTGATGAGATCATGATAATGAGACCAATTCGCCTTTAAACACAAATCCTAAATAATCTCGGTCACAGGTTACTCGAGAGGGACATTGAAACAACCGAATAGACTAGTGTACTATATACTCATACATATGATGGAGGCAGTTGGTCTTATAGTTGCTTGTGTGGGGACATTAGGAATATAGTGTAGGTGCTCATTGGAGAATGAATTTACTGATTGATTCGCTCATAAAATACTAGATAGTTAATAATATCTCATTATTAGACAATGAGTACTATATTCTTTGACACCAGACTTATAGGCTTGGAAGTTTCAGATCTAGCACAGTCAGTCATCAAGAGTGACAGTCAATCTTACAACGACTATTGAGTGTCAATAGAGGATCATCTACTCTCAATGTTATAAGAGGAATATCACATATGCTCTTGCTAAGACAAATCCCTAGCTAGGGTCATTCGGATTGAGAGAGAGAGTTTTTCGGGAGAATCTGATTAGAGCGAGTCTCGAGTAGAAACTGTATGGGCTTGATAGTACCATACCTGCTATATAGTCTCTGGGATATTAGATGGATGAGGAACTATAGATACACAGTAACTAAGGATAGATAGGTCCATTGGATTGGATTCCCCTATATCGTCTGAGGACTATGGTGTAGTGGCCTAGTATATCCGTAGTCGATAAGTTGAGTGAACTATTATGGAGATAATAATTCACTGAGCTATAAGGAGTTCTGACAGGTATAACTCACGACCAACTTGATATTGGGCCTTGAGAGTCACACACATATGATAGGCATTGCGACAAGTAGAGGTTCGTTCGGATATGAGATATCCGCCGAAGCCCCTATCTTATTGGATATCCAATAAGCCCATGAATTATTGGATCCTATGGATGAAATCAAATAAAAACCAATGAGAGATTATTGAATAGAAATCCATTAATCTAATAGGCTTAGGTAGTTGGATGAAGATCCAATACCCAATAGGGTAGGATCCATTATAGTTAAGTTGATACGGGGCCTCTATAAATAGGAGGGAACCAAAGGTTCATAGGGTAGAGCTTCTCTTAGTTGTCATCTCCTATTCTCCTCTCCCCTTTTCCTCCTCAAATAGCAAGCCTAGAGATTTGAGAAGCGTCATCGCAGCCCTATTGTGTGTGAATCACCACTAGAGAGGAGGGCACTTGACTTTCTTCATCCTCTCCTATAGATCTGCAAAGATTTATGAATATATGATCTCCCTAGATAAAATATAATCTTTCATATATATAATTTTTTGTTTTACAAATTTTGCACACCAATCTTTACACAACGACGAACACAATTTATAAAAAAATTAAGGATTTTTATTTTTCTATTCTTTCAATGTGTATGTTCTCTCTTATATTTCCAAGATACATTTGAGAAGGAAAATTATAAGCCATGATTAATAATTATTTTTAATTCATCTTTTTTTTCTCCCATTATATTTCTGAGATATTTTTTAAAATAAAAATTACTTGTCATGGATCATCTTGAAGCGTTTCTTCAAGAACTTGTCTTACTATTAATCATATTTCAAATTAAAAAACAAATTATATTCATTATTATTATTATTATTATTATTATTATTATTATTATTATTATTATTATTATTATTATTATTATTATTATTATTACTAGTTGTGT